AAATACATGGTGGGTGAATTACCCCCGAAATCCCAAAGACACCCAGGATGGGCAGGCAGAGAGAAAGAACCTCCATCTGCAGGGGCCGGGGGTGCAAAAAGAGACTCCAAATGGAAAGGAAGGGTATGGTGGGGGGAAAAAAGGCTCCAAGATGATAAAGCGGGAAGAAGGAGGCTCAAAGGAGGAGTGTGGGGAAGAATATGGTGTTAAAGGTTGGTGAGGAGAGAGGGAGACGCTGTATGGCGTTGTGGCAGAGCTTATGCAGGTGTGGGATGGACACTGCAAGGGGCAGGCAAATAAGGCAGGCTTAAGGGCTTAGAGAAGGAATCTGCAAGGGCACAGGGAAAGGGAGACTGTAAAAGAAATAGTTATAAACTTGACAAGAATACTCAGCTAATTTGGAGATAGCAAAACTTGAAAACACAGAAGTAATGAATTCCTTGTACATTAATGTGAAAACCTCAGCTCAATGCTGCATACATTCAGGAAATACCATGTGAGGGGAGACGGAGTGGTTTCATTTGGAATTAATACTGTCAATTGATAAAGTTAAATCTGAGATTGTGATCTGAGTACAGTAATTGCCTTGCTAAAATCTTTGAGCTTTGTGCCATGGAAGCTTATTAGCCATGATCCTTCCACTCTGTGGAAGGTGTGTTTAGGGCGATGGCTTTTTGTGTGTAGAAGCACGTGTCAGTTACTTTGAAAAATAACTTTGTTGCTAACTTATGTCAGTTCATTTTGTCCATTTAAATACAGTGGTGTCTAAGAAAGTAATGTTTTCTTTGGTGTTGTGGCTTTAAGTTTCATGGAAGGTTGACAATTATTGAGGATATCGATAAACTCTTCTAACTCTGATTCTGTGGGAGTTCAAATCCAGCAAAGTTAACACAGGTACAGAAGTTACTGTTGCTACATGGCTGCATTACTTAATAAATACATTAGTGACAATGGAAAAAGGAGACTCTGAAAACCAAAAAGTTGCTTTTGAGAAAATCTCAGGTACAGCCCTCGAAAAAATGTTTGTACCTTGAAGTGGTGTTGTGTCAAGGCAGGCATTGTTGCCCATCCTAATTGCCTTTCCAAACTGATGGCTTTCTAGGTCATTTCAGATGGCAATTCAGAGTCAACCACACTGTTATGACTCTGAAGCCACATGTAGGCCAGACCTGGCAAAAACAGCGGGTTTCCTTCCTTAAAGCACAGTAGATGGGTTTTCATAACAATAAATGGTAGTTGTCAGTCCAATTGAGGCGAGCTTTCAATTCAAGATTTATTAATTGAAGTTTAATACCACCAATTACCCTGGTGATATGTGACCTCATGTTGCCAGGGAACTGTCTTTGGCCTATGGATTATTAATCCATCAACATTAGCAATGCATTGTCATCTTCCCCCATAATTTTTTTTTTTTTTTTTAGGAAACTGCTCTTGTTGATTTTCATCAACCTGTGGACTGGGCAAAGAATAAAACAGAATTTTAAAAAAGATGTAGGAGCAGACATAGGCCATTCAGTCAATCGCGTCAGTTCTGCACTTCAGTGAGATCACAACTAGTCTAATAATCCTCACCTTCACTTTCCTGCCTTTTCCCCATAACCCTTGATCGCCTTTAAAAAAAAACACTATCTTGGCCTTGGATATACTTAAAGGCCCAACCTCATCAGTCCTCTGTTTTAAAGTATTTTGTAGATTCACCAGCCTCAGAAGAAATTTCTCCTTATCTCTCTCTTAAATGGGCAACTTTTTACTCTGAGATTGTGCCCTCTGGTCCTGGAGTCTCCCATTAGGGGAAACAACCTCTCAGCATCTACCCTGTCAAGGCCCCTATGAATCATATATGATTCAACAGGGCTGCCGCTCATTCTTCAAATTCCAATGTATAACCATAAGACCGTAAGACATAGGAGCAGAAATTAGGCCATTCGCCCCATCGAGTCTGCTCTGCCATTCAATCATGGCTGATAAGTTCCTCAACCCCATTCTCCTGCTTTCTCCCCGTAACCCTTGATCCCCTTGATAATCAAGAACCTATCTATCTCAGTCTTAAATGTACTCAATGATCTGGCCTCCTCAGCCTTCTGTGGCAGTGAATTCCATAGATTCATCACTCTCTGGCTGAAGAGGTTTCTCCTTATCTCCGTTCTAAAAGGTCTTCCCTTTACTCTAAGGCTGTACCCTCAGGTCCTAGACTCTCCGACCAATGGAAGCATCTTCCCAACATCCACTTTGTCCAGGCCATTCAATATTTTGAAAGTTTCAATTAGATTCCCCCCCATTCTTCTAAACTCCAATGAGTATAGTCCCAGAGTCCTCAAACACTCCTCATATGTTAAGCAATAACATTTTAATATAATCCTGAACTCAACATCAGATGCTTGAAATGGAACCACTTGCTGTTTCCTCCACACCCAATCTAATCTGCATACATATGGCACCTAGCTTATGCTCAGTTAGCTTTCTTAAGCTCTTTATACCATCCTCTTCCAAAAATCACCACATATCCCACTCTTCCCAAACTAACAGGCTGGATGTTTCTTGTTTGTTTTTCCAAGATGTACACAAGACTGACACCTCTTGCACCATTTGAGTTGGGAGGAGCAAGACTGCAGAATCAGTAGCAATGAAGAGTCGCAATAAAGCCAGAAGTTGCATGACACCAGGTTATAGTCTAACAGGTTTATTTGAAATCACAGGCTTTTGTAGCATTGCTCCTTCATCAGGTCACTTCACCTGACAAGGAAGTAGCGCTCTGAAAGCTTGTGATTTCAAATGAATTTGTTGGACTACAACCTGGTGTTGTGTGACTTCTGACCTTGTCCACCCCAGTTCAACACCGGCACCTCCACATCATTGCAATAAAGCAGAAGAGCAACAAAACTATCAGAAAAGGTAGGTTAGCAGAGGGAGGGTAAATGCTGCTGCGTGCAACAGAAATGCAGACGAAGCCCAGCATTCAGTAGGTTAAAATAATGGCTTGCATTTGTAAATGGGTGGGGGAGGTGGAGGAGATGGATCATCCGGTATACTGTCAAAATGTCCATTTGCAACACACTGACCAGACACCTGACTGTTCTGCAGTGACAATGGGAGCAGCTTTAACTGATCAACACATCCCTAACTGGAAGGACATCCCGTGCTATAGACCTACTGACTAAACTGATTGGTCAACAGCTCTGTACAAGCAGCACCAGTGATTACTGATGGGACTATACTATGTCTCTGCAGCGGTGTCATAGGTGCTGCACTTCAGCCAAGTCTAGGGATTCTGCTTGACTGACCCAAGCAAGGACAAGGGAGCCCAGGAGGCTCAGGTATAGAGGCTGAGGGACGGCCTTATATTTGAGGGTATGGCCTTGGGACAGAGCATCTGATAGACACCAAAGGCCCTCCCTCAAAAATGAGATACATCACCAACCTTAGCCTTCCTAACCGCCATTAGCCCATGCAGTGAGAGCTGCCAGGCCATTCAACTTTCCTCTGCCTTCCCCTGCGACACAAATTGTAGCAGTGAAGGCAGAATGAGGTCTTTAAGTAGCGATTAGTTCATAATCTAAAGGCAACACCGGGTTCAAGTGTTTGTGAAATGACAGGGCAGACCAATGAGGAGGGATTGAGTGAAATAAGCCTATTTGTCTGTAATCTAGCAGAATAAGGGGTGTTCTTATTGAAACATATGAAATTTTTTCAGGGTTTGTGTGGGTAGACATTGAAAAATTCATTCCTCCTCTGGTTTGGACAGTCTGGATTAGGACTTATAGTCATGGAATAAGTGATTGGCCATTTCAGACACAGTTAGCGAGTACATTCTTCATTTAGAGGATTGTAACATGTGAAATTCTCTGTTCAAGAATGTTGTAGTTATTCATGGAGGATATTTAGGAATAAGATTGATACATTCATGGGCAAAAGCAGCCATGATCTTTTGGAATGGTGTAGTGAGCATGTGGAGCCTATTGACCAACTCCTACTCCTATTTCTCAAGTATTTATAAAGTGCAGGAAGGTGCAAGGTTCAATCTATGGTTTGCAGTTTAGCCATTTTCAGCAGTGTCCTTGAGAAAAAGTTTACAAGTATTTCTGTGCCTAGAAAGAGGGAGACTGTCAGCCTAGATCCCTTTCCTGATCATTATTTTATGACTCCTGCCAGAAAGTACATATGTGGCTATTTGGCTAGCCTAGGCTGAGCCTATAATATCCATGTTTGAATAGCTCACGGGCTCTCATTTAGCTTACGGTTAAAATATAATTGCTATCCTGTAAGTAACTATGGGTACCAAATGAACATGGACTGTACTCAACAAGAATTTACACCTGGAAATGTCTGAATAAGGAAGGCATGAGGTACTCAAGACAAGTATGTCTGCAAAACTGCAGATATATTAACTCTGACATCATCAACATTGCTTTGCAGAGCACAATTAGCACGGTAATATCATAACTGCATGAAGAAACAATAAGCATTCGGATTTCTTTCACGAACACATGCCATGTTGGCAACCAATTGCTTATTTTGAGGTATTTATTGGAATATGGCATTTTTTATGTGAAGCTTTAACAGTGAAACACCACCAGTTTCCCAGCTGAAATGTCAAGTTTGGTATAATGTGGATCCCACCAAAAAGTTTCTTTGGCAATACAAAAGTCACAATTATTGCCATGCATGGGATACCTTTCTATTATCTGTGAAGTTATGACAGTGAGTTCAGATAAAGGGGTTACTTATGCTTCATAACCTGGAAGTTTTTGTAACAGTAAGCTGACGCTCCACGTTAAAAATAAAGAACATCCCTGCACGGAAAATGAACAAAAAAAAAACCCCACGACCACTGGAGGTACAGCGCACTCATATCCTTTCTTTTGATAAATAAACCCAGATGCAGCTTTAATGCCAGCGGGTGATGGGCACACTGAGAAGTCCTCTGATCAAGCTGTTTGTAAAAACATTCCGAAAACAAAAGCCGCGATCAGCGCTGGAGGAGGAGGCGGCCGCTTTCTTACGTGCAGTCCTGATTGAAGGAGGCGCAGAGAGGGGCGATGCGGGCTCCCTCTCCCCCGGTATCACTCTGGCTCATTGTCAGCCCCTCCGCATCCGAGGCTCGGGGGGCGCCGCGCCCACTCTAAGCGGCGACTCCGTACAGCCGCTCCGTGGCCATTCAGCCCAGCTCGCCAATCAGGGCAACCAGCAGCTGTCAAAGGCCGACGTCATCTTCAACTTCCCATTGGCCAAGGACGTGTCTCACGTGGTCATAGAGCCACGCCCCCTCCAGCAGGGCCGCACCCTATTGGCTGGAAACCCACGGTCCATGCCGTCACCCTATGGTTTCCAGCTCCATCTCTGCATCCCATCAACTCTATGCATACAGTGTGTGCTGACAACATTTCATTGGCGTGTTTGGTGGGTTCATTGGAGTCTAACAAGATTTCGTGGCTGCTTTCAGAGATTAGAATTAGCTTTTATTGTCACATGTACTCTCTCGCATGAGTACAGTGAAAAGTTTGCAAGCTGCCACTTACCATGCCATCTCAGGTACACATGTACCTAGGCACAGAATCTTAGTACAAAGCAGAAAACTAAAGAATGGAATATTAGATGTTAAACATTTCAGTTCTTCCTACTAAAGCTTGGAAAAACAAAGAAACACAGTTAATACTTCAACATCACAGTCTAAGCAAGGGCTTGCACTCCTCACAAGGGCTTGACCTCGCCTTCACCACCGCCTCGGGGCTGCCTGTTCCCACTCGCACCCCCTTGGAGCTGCCTGTTCCCACTCTCGCCCCCTCGGGGCTGCCTGTTCCTGCTTTCACCACCTCAGGGCTGCCTGTTCCCACTCTCGCCCCCTCGGGGCTGCCTGTTCCCACTGCCACCACCTCGGGCCTGCCTGTTTCCACTCTCGCCCCCTCGGGGCTGCCTGTTCCAACTCTCACCCCCTCGGAGCCGCCTGTTCCCACTCTCACCCCCTCGGGGCTGCCTGTTCCTGCTTTCACCGTCTCAGGGCTGCCTGTTCCCACTCCCACCACCTCGGGGCTGCCTGTTCCCACTCTCGCCCCCTCGGAGCTGCCTGTTCCCGCTTTCACCACCTTGGGGCTGCCTGTTCCCACTCTCGCCACCTCGGGCCTGCCTGCTCCCACTCTCACCGCCTTAGGGCTGCCTGTTCCTGCTCTCACCATCTCGGGGTGGCCGGTTCCTGTTCTCACCATCTCAGGGCTGCCTGTTC